TGGGTGAGTGAGTGAGTGAGTGAGTGAGTGGGGGAGAGAGGGAGGGAGTGAGTGAGCGAGTGAGCGAGTGAGAGTTTACATTTGCTCACGGACTCCGTGAGAACAATGGACCGCAACAGGGTTTCAAAAGCGATTCTTGGCTTAAGAAGGCATGACAGCTTGTCGACGTCACTCGGAAAAATGGTCAGTGCACGAGGGAGAAAACCGCTATCTATCCGAGGGCTGCTAAATGTCCGAGGGCACATCAAGCAAATGACAGCTGCAAGACCGCCTTTTGGAGACGCAAGCATTCGGCCAAATTCTGCCGTAGCAGCAGGCCTCACAGAGTAAAGCCTTCGGACTTCAATCAGCTTATAGCAGACCGGCCCTCATGGCTCACTAACAATATTTCGGCAGCCAATGTATCATGGGCCACAAGGTGTTTTTCCCGTGCTCAAAGAGATGAATATCGCCAGGCAGATCGACGACAGCCTTTGCTGTATGCTTACGCTGGGAGAAGATGAGGTCATCGTAGGCAAGGGGTTTTGCTTGATTGCGTGCTGGTTTTTGAAACGGACTTGTTTGAGTCTGGCCCAGGGATCTGAATGCCTGCGGCTATTGGCGGGCGTTTTAATAGCCCACGAAAAACTGGCTGAATTGTCCAATGACACTTTGAACGGTCCCAAGAATGGAAATTGAGGGTGCGGGTGAGGCCTACAGGGCAGCAAGCGTCATCCAGAAGCTTGGCCGGATGTTCTTCGCAGATCGCACTTGACTGGACATCCTGAAGGTTCCCTTTGCTTGACCGTCGGACTTGACTCACCTTGCCCTGTTGCGGTTTGCCCCTCTTTTTAGTCATACCGGTACCAACCAAGAACAACGCCCTCAGTGCGAACAATCTACAAAGTCCCCGCACAGGGCATCACCGGAGAAGTGGAGTGAGTCTTGCCCGGCGCAAATGTTCATGTGTCAAAATCTTCGTCCTCTTCCCAAAGCTGTATTTTGGCATTTTGGTTTTGGCTTGGCATTTTGCTTTTGGACTAATCCGAAAGGGGTACCCTCCAGAAAGCACTTTTCAGGTTGCCTGGCATTTGTCCATACATGTTTTTCCCATGAAAGAAGTCACAATTCCAGACGACCAATAATTTGAGTGAACAAAAACGAGTGAAGTCGATGCATCTTGGATGTCCACCTGGGGGGTCCAACCCTGAAAACAACCCGACAAAAAGAGGAGCCACAGAAAAACAAACAAACAAACAAAACAAGCAACAACAAACCCAACCCAAAGGGTCCGGGGGTTTTCCAAGTCTTTGGCTCAGGACACCAATCCTGGGCGAGTTGGGCTGTGGCACATCACCTGGAACACACCAGGTGCGAATCAGCATCTGAGAGCGCAGAGAGCAACAGCATTTGAAGGCACTCCGCAGAGGTCGGGCATGAATTCGGATTGGGGACCCGGTGGGGGGAAAAAATGGTTTGCCGGACCATTCAGGAGATTCCCTACAGCTTTGGGCCAAGTTGGTTGTGTTTTGAGTGAGGGATGCGAAAGAAAAGCGATCTACGAGTGCGGCGCAGAGCCAAGCGATCCGTGATCCGAGTCCGGAGGTCCTATGGTGGCTACAGAGAAGGCCCTGTTTTCCGTGCCGGGATGCGACTCGCTGTCTTTGAGCTTGTCGGTTTGGAGAGAGCTTTTCCTGGTGGATTTCCTTTTGGTTTCCCTTGACCGCTTTAAAAGGGGTACCCGAAAGAAACGAGGCCCTGCTGAACCTCCAGCGAAGTGTTTTACGCCACTGGGAGACCCAGGTTACTTGATCAGCTTGGCGATCTACTTCGACCCGGATTTCTGGATCTGTGGTTGCCGCCCTTCTGCCGCAAATCGAGAACAGACCCACGGATTTCAGCCGGAAATGGGAGTACTTATCCAAACATGTGAAATGTGACTTTCTGTTCGGAGCAAAAGCTAAGGTGGACACGAGGTGAGGGCTTCTTTGATCGGAGTTCAGAGGGATGAGAATCGGCCTTGGCACAAACCCGTTTTTTGTTATTTAATTTTTATTTTTTGTGAGACTGTGGATGGACAAAATCCTGCACCACCTGAGAGACACCCGACAATGATGATTCCCCTGCAAATACCAACAAACAATGGTTTCCAGTGGTTTCAAAGTGGTGCAGGATTTCGTCCATCCACAGTAGGATGAAGATGTGGATGGGCATGGACCCATCAGCAAAATGTTAGGCAGCCATGGCAAGGATTCGCTCTTCGGAGTTTGGACCATGACGCATGCTCGGAAGGCGGACAGGGCAAGCAACGCACCAAAGGAAAGGGATTTTCTTGGGACCGTGTTCAAAGCAACAGAAATCCACTCACTCAGTGACATTGCTTTGTTTGATGCGTTGCCATTCGTTTTGGAACTCCTAGCTCGTCATTTGCAACCCACGCCGAAACACCTGGGGAGTCTGTCAAAACTAGACACACCAATAAAAGCGACAATCAGCTAGAAAATCCAAAATACACAGGAATGTGTCCAACCTTGTAACCAAAAAACGAACCGGAAGGTCACAGAAGAAGAAACTCCAAAATAACTGGCAATGTCTCGCAACTAGAAACTCCGAAACAAATGGGAAGGTGTCACCACTGACACTGGGAACTCCAAACTAAATGGGAAGGTGTCAAAAACCTCTGCCGGGAGGGGGGTTGACAGGCAAGTCTAGTTGCATTTTGGGCCAAATTTACTCCTGGGGCTGGGAACCCTCAATCAAAACCCGCTATTTCGCTGCTTAGCTCGGGTGTTCGTTTTGTCCCGGCAGAGGGACCCAACGCCCCCTGCGTTGGAGACCAGAAGGTCCCTTGCGGAAAATAGTCTTTCATGGGACCCTTTCGTCAGGTTCCATGTTGGGTATTTTAGTGGGATCCCGGTCCTGAGCATCGGAAAATGGATATGGATCGGTGAATTTGAATGACTCCCTCCCACATGCGTGGCAATACATTTTCACCGAAATGATGTCCCCCAATCAACAAATCACATATCACCCAAAAAGGTTGCTTGGAACGGTCAAGAGACTCCTTAGACCCCAGGCACTTTTTCACAAGGCTTCCAAGTCATGAGAGGCTTCCATTGGCTTGAAGAATGTGGTTCCATTTTTCCGCCCTGTTGAGTTTCAAAGGGAATCTATCACTACTGGAATTCTGTTTGTCCCTCTGACTTAGATAAATGGAAGGAGGGATCCAGGGAATCTATCACTACTGGAATTCTGTTTGTTCCGGGGACTTAAGTAAACGGACGGAGGGATCCTCATGCTTGACCCAGGTTCCAAAGTGGTGATTCTTCAGCGGAGATCTGCCCAATCTGCCTCGGTGCTGCGTGTGCTTGCCCTTGAGACGGAGCAAGCGGCTGGGCGAATCGCTCGCTCGCAAAGCGGGGCAGGTTGGGGCGAACTTGGGTTACGCACCTGGACCGTGGTCCTTTTGAAAGCCAAGGAGGTTTCAAACAAGAGGCGTTTCGACGTGTTGAAACAAAGCTTTGTAAGGCACCCCTCAACAGCTTCCCTAAGAAGCCGGGATCCAGCAACTTTGGTGGAAGCCAGGGGCTGGTGAACATCAGCTTACCAAAATGGTTTATGGGTTTGTGAGAGTTAGGAACTCTACTCAAAGGTGGCTCCGGGCCTTGTTTGCTGATCAGATATGCTGGCAGAGAATTGGCGAACGGTTTCCCGCCGGTTCCCGACGGCCAAGTTTCTGCTAGGGTCCCAGCAACCCTTTAAGAGGCTGGGGAACCTCCCTGAGCCAGTTTTTAGCTCTTTGGGACATTTCTGCCGCGGAAGAAGATGGGTGGCCTTTCAATTCAGAAGCTAGCGGTTCATGGCTGCACAATTTTGCTCATCCATTAGCAATCCACGACTTCCCATTGGCAAACCGAAGATGTTCAAGGCTTCACATGTCAGTGTCGGCATTTGGAGGACCATACCAATAGGACTCACCGCCCATGATAACTTATAATACTTCGCTAAACGGCACACCCCTGATTGAGTGAGGTCCCGTTCCCTGAAGTTTGCATTTAACGACTTGCAATCAGGCAACCCCCAATTGGTTGTTTGGATCTGGATTTCAACCTTGGTTGTTGTATCAGCTTCCCTTTGGATTGGTGGTTATGTGTTCCGGGGGTGGTTTCAACCATTTACCCAAGGGTTCAAATCCAAATCCAAACCAGCGAGCCACCAATCCAAACCACCAATTAGGGGTTAGCTGATTGAGGGTAAGGAAACCGGCCCCAGCCTCCAAACCACATGCAACCCTTGCGAACCAAGGCTCGGGCGACCGCTGTTGCCGCGGTAGGAAACGGCTTTGCTGTGGGAACCAGCGCTGGCAGCGTGTGCTTATACCCTCTGCGGCAAAAGGAGGACGGGCTTTGGATTATTTTTTTGGGCTTGGGTTTCCTGTTTTCCTGTTGAAGTTCCGGTTTGCTGTGGGTATCCCTTGGGTTTCTCCTGTGGGTCCCTTTTTGGGTGCGTCTTCTTTTTTGGGGAGCCCCATATTGGTGGCCTTCCTTTTGGTTACCCTTAAACACCACCAAAAAAGGACACCCATTTTTCCCAAGCCCGAGCTCCGTTCAAACCGCCGAACGGTGAGACTTGGTTTGTAGAACGGCCCCCACCCCAAGCCTTGTGCTGACAAGCGGATTGGGGAGGGGGGGAAGAATGGATGTTTCTCGGTCCGAAGAAGACTGGCTTATATGGTCACCCAGGATGTAAACACAACTGAGAATGTTGAGGATGTCCACCAAAGGGTTCACAATTAGAATACATGCTGACATGATGCTTGTGGATTGCTGATGGAGGATGGAGATAGGCGATTCCTGCTACCCTTGCAAGGAATTCCATGAGGCCCGCCTCAAAATGTTCCGCTGGGAACGGGAAAGCGGCAACTTGCGCTGCCTCAGACACGGGTGGTTGTTGGAATCCCTGTAGCCAGCCTATTGGCCGGGATGCTGTCGGCCCTTTGCTCATGTTCTGCGGAATATTTGGCGATCTGATTGCCCGTCCGCTTTGCCATGAAACTGGTCCTTGTTTGGCCAATTTTCCTTTAACATGAACCTGGTGGGTTGTTGGACCAGAGGGTGGCGAAGTAGTTGGGCTGTCTTTTAGGAGCTCCCTTGACCGAAGAACCTTTTGGTTTGTACTGCTCGCTTCTTTCTTGTTTTTGTTCGGCGTTGAATCATTGGGACCTGGGAGTCGGAGAATGCAGGCATGGAACCTGTCACACTCGGATGGCATCAGAGACGAGGAGGAGTGGGTTGGGGCGCCACATCAGCCGCCAAATTAGGGTCTTTGGGCCTTGGCGCTTGTGAGGGTCCGGGAAAGGAAAACACCCCCCTCCCACCCTCAAATTCACAGGTGCAACCTGTTCAACCGGGCCGCCCCCCCCCCCGTTCGGGTTTCCGATCGCTGAAGACCGGAGAATCTGGAAGCATTGCACGCTGTTTTTGTGCGGAGGTGCAAATCGTTTGGCCATACTGTGGATGGACGAAATCCTGCACCATCGAATATTCCCTGGAATGAGGATTTCCCTATAAATAGCAGCAACCAATCCTTTCCCATGGTTTCAAAGTGGTGCAGGATTTTGTCCATCCACAGTTTGACTGCAATGGACCTGAATGCTCAGGAAAACAATTGAAAGGGCCAGTGAGTCAAAGCCACCAGATAGGCTGCTTTGGGGCAGGCAGCTTTGGGCCAACCCACCCCGGCCCTGCCGCAAAACTAGGTTTAGGGCCAGCCCCAGAGCCATTTTTAGGGCTAGTCCTGGGGCTTGTCTTGGAAATCCATGTTTCGCGCCAGTGACCTGTTTCCCCTACGATGCCGTTGTTCATGCGTACCACACCGGTTTTCTCCAAGAAGAGCAAGGGAGCCTTCAAGCTGAAGGAGTCGGCGAACAGTTCTCAGGCGGGGTGGGGGAATTTTGAATCCCCGGCCCTTGACATGGCACCCAAAATGGGATTCCTCCTCCCAAGATGGCTAGGGCTTCATGTGAACCTGGGGCCCCTGGGGGCATTTGCAGGACATCCCTCGCTGCGTATACCCGGGCAGCGAAATCAACGATCTTCAACTGCAGTCGGCAAATGGCACGGAGCTCTACAGTGGCGGCTCCAACGGCAGGAGAACTCTTGCCACGGGTTTTCATCGCCAGTGCTCAGTTGAGGCGTTTGGGGCTTTTTGGGGCCTGGGGTTGCTTCATTTTACCAGCAACAAGCGCTTCACTTTGCATGCGCCCCGAAAGGCTGGCGGTTTTGAGCCCAAAGGCCCATTGAAAGCCTCAGCCCGCCTTGTCGGCTTCCTGCAATCATGGAGACCTAGGGGCCGTTCGGCGGGGGGCTACCGAACAAAGGCCTTGAGGGGTTCATAAGGGATAGCCCTTCCCTGCCCATGGCCCTCAGGGCTCCATGATGTAAATCCCCACTTGATTTGGCAACCGCGCGGCGATAGCGGTATCGGGGTGCGACAGGACCTGTCGGATCTTCCTGAAGTCTCTGACCATGTCCTGCTTCGACCAGCCAGGCATGTGGTCATGTAGTTAGCCCATTTTTCAACGGGTGGTTTGGGGGTGGCGTTCCTCTGAATATTAACTTTGGGTTAGTCTGCAGGACCAGACAAATTTCCGTGGTTCCTTTTGCAGTAAGGAACTCCTTTGCATCCAGTGCTTGTAAGCATGAAGCAAAGCTTGGTGCCACGTTTAGAGAGAAACCCAAAGGGGAGGAGATTCATAGAACCTTCCTGCCATGGTTGTATCCTCATTCCTAGAGGCGGTGGTTTGGGAGTTGAATTCGGCTGATGGAGTTTGCCCATTGCAAACTTGGTTTCTGGATGAACCTCTGTTCCAAAAAACCTTGAAAACACAAAGGGCTCTATGCTGCAGTAATTTCCACTGTACGCCGTGTGGGGTTGGCCTTAAAGCTTTGAAGCCACACACGCACACATGGCACTGGCTCAGAATTCAAGAGCTAGGGTTACGCAGGTTTTGGTCCATGTTTCCACTTACCAGGGTTCCATTTTGGTGCCAGTTTTTTGAGCCATACCCGCATTTTCTCAATATTTAAGATTGCGCCTGACTTGTGCTTTACGACGTTGGCGAGCGGTAGATGCTGCATTCTATGTTTTGGCGAGATCTTCATCAAGTTGATGCGGAAACACACCCAGATAGTGCCATGGTTGAGGGGCTATGGAGCAGCCGGACAACTGCAATGTGCTTTGGTGTGTTGTTTTTGAATCTGGTCGATACAGTTTGTCGTGTCAAAACAAATTGCAACAGCCAAGACAGCAAGTGCCAAACGCATTTGAGAGATAGGTGGTTGGTTTTGTTGCAAAGGTTCTAGTGGATGAGGTGTGTTTTTCCTAGGTCTGTATTTTTGGCTGGTTGGGTTGGTTGGTTGGTCGGTCGAAAACCAAGAAGCCTGCTAGTGCTCAGTGACCTTCCTGGTTTTGGGAATCAACTGGTTTTGGGGATTCCCTTGAAGTAAGCCACAGCAGATA